TCCTCGGGGTCCCTGGACCAGGCCACGGCCCCTGCTCCTCAGAGACGCGCTTCGGCCATGTTTGCCCTGGCCAGGTCCCTGGCCCGTGTCTGTCAGTCATCTGTCCTCTCCACCACAGCAGCTGGAGCTGCCCTCACCTGACCCGGTCAGCAGCCCCAGGGCCTCCGTCTTCCCCAGCCAGGCCGGGCCTGCAGAGGCTGCCCTACGTCGGCTGTTGGCTAGGTCAGATCTGTCGGTTCCAAACCTGGCAGACGTGGCCAGCAGACCCACGTGTGGCTTCTGCTTTAAGGTGTCATATTTAGGGCCGAGGCGGGGGGCACACTCGGATGAGCTGGGGGCACTGCCCCTCTTGGGGTTCTGGAACATCAGCCTTCGGGCTTCCAGAAGCTGGGCTGAGCCCAGGTGTCCGGGGCCAGAGCGGCAGCCTGGAGCACACCACACAGCTCGGTAGTCGAGGTGGTGCCCAGCATGGGCCGAGAAGGTTTCCTTCACATCCCTGCCAGTGTCTGTCCCCCGTGTCCCCGCCCTGTCACCGAGAGGAACTCTGGCGACCAGGCCAATGACCATCTGACGTGGGCAGCTGAGGAAGAGAGCTCAAAATCACACTGCCACATGGGGGCCAGTGGTTTTGTGTTAAAGAATCACGCACCCTGAGAGTCCTGACGCACCGGGGACGCCGTTTCCAGGTTACACCTCTGCCCGCCAGGGTGGCATCCCGTGGAGACACTGCTCCTCGGAGCCAAGGCCACTGGGAGACGCGGTTCAGTCCCTGGCCCAGCCTGAAGAGGCCTGTGGTCCACACTAGCTGGGAGGCTGCGGCAGGGTCTGACGTGGAGACCCCACCAGCAGCCGTCGCTCTCTGCCTCACGTAACCGAGCGGCCTTGCTGAAACGGGAGCTGGTCCTGGGCCCACTGCGGCAACACGTGCCCGGGCATGAGCGGCTCGCACTTGGTGGGTCCCACCTGAGCACAGGGCACCAGGCCTGCTGCGATGCCACACCCGGGGGCCCCGGCTAGTGCAAGGCTGTGGCTGGACAGCCGTGACATCATGGCGGCGTGCCGCTTCTAAGAAGTGAAAACCCATGATCAACGCACACTCGAGTGTGAGGCCTGCTGGGTCTCAGCGGTGCTCCGCCTTTCCCTCCCATTCCCACTGCTGGGGCACATGTGCCCACCACAGCACGCAAGCACCCCCGTGGGGCCTGGCCACGCCGTCGTCCTGTTCACCTGTTCCCCACCCCATCAGGGCTAGGCTCACACAAAGCTCAGCCAGTTCCCAGGTCCGCACGTGGGGCCCGGCCCAGGGCACAGGCCTACCCCTGCCCCTGCCCTGCAGCCCGTCATCAGAGCACGCAGCACGTGGGGCCCAGCCCAGGGCACAGGCCTACCCCTTCCTCTGCCCTGCAGCCTGTCGTCCAAGCACGCGGCAGAGCCACACAGAGGCGGGAGACGCAGGTCTGGTGCCTAGCCCCGGGCCGTGGTGAGCAGGCATGAGCTTGGCCGTGAGAGTGACTTGGTGTCAGAGCACACCCAGGCCACCTGGCCTTGAGCACTGAGACACCCCTGAGCTACAGGGTCCCACCCCTGCCCTCAAGGCCAGGCGGAGGTCAGCAGCCCCACACATCATGTCCTCGGTGGCTTGCAGGACTCGCTCCTGCCTCCGAGTGGGGCGGGCACCATCCCTGTAGACGCTGCTGATGGAGACCCCATTGGGTATAATGGAGACCCCATTGGGGTCACAGTGGTGTGATAGTTGTGCCCAGTTATACTGAAAATGTGGCAGGGGAGGCGGCAGGTGGCGTGGAGGTTAAGGCACTGGGTCGCACGTAGCTGAGTGCAAGGTTTGAGTCCCAGACCCAGCAGCTCAGAAGACAGGCTGAGCATACATGCACGTGCCCCAAGTCCTGACGGGGATGGAGGAGAAGGGACTGGTGTGGCCATCCTCCCTGAGTGCTTTCTCACTCCCCTCTCTGTCTCCGTCTCTCCTCAGTGAGTGCACACGCCCTCAGCACACGTTTAAAATTGCAGGGCAACAGGCAGTGGAGTGGCCATCTCGCGCCCACTCCTACCGCACGCTAAGGTGCGTCTAACACAGCAGCCAGCCGCCTCCAGTGCTGCGCCCTACACAGATGTAGTCAGTGTCCTATGTCAGTGATGTTACCATTTCTTTTTTGTTTGTTTTAAGAATTATTTTATTTACTTACTATTTTAATATTTCCAGAGAGAGAAGCAAAGTAAGAAAGCAAGCCTCTAGGTCCGGGACTTGAACCCTGGCCAGCCATGTGGGAGTGCAGCGCCCCATCACCGTGCCACCTGGCGACCCAGCCTTTTTGCAGAGCACGAACAGTTAGCAGAGCTGCGCTGAGAGGGACTGTGAGGGGTGGGAATGGCCTCCACGGTGCCGTCCTCGCTGCACACCGGGCCACTGTACCGGCCACCGGCTGAGGTGGCCCCTTGGTGAGGGCAGTGCGAGGGCTGCCCACAGGCAGCACACGGGCCAGGGCTGACTGGCCCTCCATGACCCACGTCTGCCTCTGAGTCCGTACCCATGGCCCGGGCAGCACTTCCGGGCTCACAGACCCCACATGGACACACCTGTGGCTTGGCCCCCCTCCGTGGACTCTGGGGCAGTACACAGGGCGCTCCATCCCAGTGCTAACCCCCAGAGGTGCCCCGGGATGGCAGCCAAGGCTGCTGCCCACCTGGCCGACCTGGGAGTGCCGGCCTTTCCATGTGCCACCTCTCCCCAGGGGCCTGAATGAGGTGACGCAGCTGTGGCCATGAGGCGGCGGGGGCTGCAGCAGAGTGGCCAGAACCTCTGGGCGGCGCGGACAAGCCTCCAGCAGCCCTGGAAGTCAGCCGCACCTCTCAGTCGGGCCAGGCTGGAGGGCGTGTGCCTCACAGGCCTGGTGTTGCCAGGGAGCACACCAGCGGCCTCAGCGCCACACACTCCTGTGACACGGAGCAGTGTCTGTGCAGAGGCACGTCCCCTGCCTGCACCTGAAGTTGTGCCAGGCTGCTCGGGATAGCTGGGCTGAGGCAGGGCTGACAGAAGTAGCTGCGGCTCTGGTCTGGGGACAGTGACGGGAACAGGTGTGTACCTGCCACATGCAGGCAGCCCACATGATGCACACCAGCTACCACGGGCCTTTCCATCCTGTGGGATCCACGGGTGCAGAAGCTGCGGGGTGGAGGGCCGGCCCTGCTGCCGGAGTCCTGGCCCGACTGCGAGTTAGACCGGGGCGCTGTGAGCTGTACTTGGGGCCCTCCTGGTGCTCGGGTAGGAGACTGCGTGTGCGGTGCAGGCCGAAGGCTTAGGGGGCGCCCTGCAGCCTCGGAGGCCCCGGGCTCGGGGTCGTGGCCGTGGGACTGTTGGCCCTCCGCTGGCCTCAACTTCTGCTGTGTCTCCTGACAGACGTGGCCTTCATCACCACCGGGACGTTCCTGTGGAAGGTGTCGGCCATCACGGTGCTCAGCTGCCTCCCGCTCTACGTGCTGAAGCGCCTGAAGCGCAAGCTGTCCCCGCCCAGCTACTCCAAGCTGGCCTCCTGAGGGCCCAGCCTCCGGGGCAGGGCTCCACACAGAAGGGAGGGGGGGGGGGCTGCAGCGTGCTGAGGGCAGGGGGCAGGGCCAGGGAGGCCTCACAGTGGGGTCAGCAACACAGCCTGAGCCCCGCTCCCTGCTTTCTTCTGTCTCCCAAGATGTCACCTCCTCCTGGAAGCCTCTGGGTCCTCGGGAGCAAGCCCCAGTATTTCACGATTGCTGTAAAGGACCCCCTTGCTCTGGGGTCCTGATAGTGGAGACGGAAGTTTACTCTGTGCCACCGCTGACCCTCCCTGCCCCCTGATGTCACAGCGTGAAAGCCGTGCCTGTCACAATAAAACAACCTGTCGGTGTGGTGCCCGACTCGCATCCGTCCTCCACGTCGCCGCCATCTGTGCACTGTCAGGGTGGCAGATCCTGTCTGCCTCTGCCTCCCGTCCCTGGCGTGCCTGCCCTTGTTTCTTTCCCACAGCCGGGCCAGCGGTCGGTGCCCACTGAGAGCCTGCCACCCAGCTGAACCAGCAGCGGCCTTCCCAGGTTAGCCGTTGCCCTGCAGACGCCCCCAGGCGCTGGCGCTGCCTCTGGGCCGGCGACGTCTCACACCCCAAGCCCTCCTCCGTGAGCCCACACTGGACGTGGGCCTCTGTGCAGCAGCCAGCTGTCCTGTGCACTCGGGTCCCTCGGGAAGGCGGTGCCAGCTTGCTCGGCCACGCAGCACACCCCGTGGCTGCACACTGTTGGAGGACTCTGACCGGTTCGTTTGCCTTTGTTAAGCTGGACTTCGGAGGTGGGAGGCGGCACACCAGCTGTGGCCTGTTCCTGGCTTACCTGTCCCTGCCCCTGGCTTGTGCGGATTAACCCGATCACAGTTTTCCTCACCGAAGTCCCCGGGAAGGCCCCTGTGCGGCGGGGCTCCAAGAGACCCGCCCGCACACGGCTGTCCTGGTGTCCCCCAGGTCGTCACCTCGGCCTTCGGACTGGACCAGGGCTGCCCGAGCCACGGTCTCATCTCCACACGGGGGCTATTGGCACCAGCTGGTCTTGGCAGTGTGGGCCTCTGGGCAGCCAGGCTGCTGTCAGCTGAGTTAGGGCCACCGCCACGGGCTGGCTGGGTATTTGGACAGCGTGGTGTCTGCCCCTTCGGAGCACTGTTCGAATTAAGGCCATTGCGTCCTGAAAAATCTTGTCCGCAGCCAGCGGCCACCGGCCCGGGCGCACTGGAGGTGGGTGTGCTTTTTGGGTGGGCAGGGTGGCCTTCTGTGCCCTTCCGCGAGGGTGACTGGCACACTTACAGTACAGCGTCTCGTGCCTCAGACACCTCCGCAGGCCTGCAGAGGGTGCTCAGCGCAGCTGGCCGTGTAGACGCCAGGTGTGTCCAGAGACCAGGGCCGGCCTCCCGGGCGTCAGGCTATGGTCCAGGGGTGCCACACCGGGACAGGGTGGCTCGTGTGGTAGTCACCGCGGCGAACTGCCGGGTGCAGGAGGATGAGCACCCGCATGGCCAAGGCAGCGCACCAGGATTCTTGGACGGCTCCCAGCGCGTGTTGCGGCCACTCGGCCGCTGGACCGTGTCCCTCTGCTGTGAGCCGTGTGACGGGAGGTGTCCCAGCACAGCACCACCTCGTGCCCAGCACGTGCCAAGGCGTCCTGGTGACAAGTGCCGTGCGGGCTGGCAGGTGCTTGGGTGGGGCCGTGCGGAGTGGTCCAGGCTGAGGCCCGAACCCTGCTGCGCGGCTGGGAGACCGAGGTGGGGTCGGGTGGCAGCCGAGGCAGGTGAAGAGGACGGATCAGCAGATGGTGACAGGGAAGACAGCGACTCCTTCCTGTCCCCACAGGCTCAGGCTTTTCCTCCCGCTGTTTCCAGATGGGCTGCAGCGAGCGCCGGCCCACCCCACAGCACCGCCGCCGCCATCTGTCCGCGGGAGGAAGGGGCACGGCCCCGCGCCACAGGTGCAGCCCTCCGCCGTGTGTGGGAGTGGAGGCGGCCACGTGCCGTCCGGCAGAGGCAAGGCTGAGCAGGAGGGCGGGCGCGCAGCGGGCGTGCCACAGTAACTTTAGACCTGACGGGCTTCGTGGTAGCCATTGCCACCTGAGGTGCGTCACCTACAGCATGTGAAGGGCAGACACGTCAGGAGTTACGTTTATCTCCTTGAGCAAGGGTGACAGACGCCACAGCAGGCCCCGGCCCGTCCCCCAGCCTCGGCGGCCAAAGCACGCGCACCTGGCACACTCAGAGGGCACCGGCACGAACCAGCACCCACACGTCTGCCTGGCCATGCCGCCGTCCAGCCCGCGAGAACCTCGAGGGGTGCACAGATGACCTGCCGGCCGCCCGGGGGGTCTTGAACGCCCTTCCCGCAGTGAGGGGCCGGGCAGCTGCACAGGCCAGGGAGGGCCAGAGCCTCCGTGCGCCACTCGCCGAGCCTCAGCACTTCCAAGGCCAACCCTGGACACCAAGCTGCTCGCTCCCCGAGAGCGCATGGGTCAGAGGCAGAGGTACCTGAGAAGGGTCGCAGAGCCTGGGAGGCAGGGGTGCAGACACCTGTAGTGAAGCCAGAGCTGCCGGGGCGAGGCCCTCACTGCAGGAGGCTGCAAGAAGAGCAGGGAGCTGAAGGGACGGTGGAGACGAGAAGGCCGTGGGACAGGAGGGAGACGCAGCGCGCTTCGCAAGGGTGGGCCTCTGGGCCCAGGTGGTGTCAGGTCAGCACGGCTGACCCCACATGGCGACCATGTGATTCAAGCCCAGACCCAGCGGCTTGGACGCCGGACACGGTGCTGCGTGCTTCAAGTCCCAAGAGGACGGACAAGGGGCTGCCGCCCTCCCTTGGGTGCATCCTCCTCCCTCGCTCTGTCTTCCTCTGTCTGTGCACACGCCCCTTAGCGAAACGGAGCACTAAGTAAATGCCCAGGCCTCGGGGTGGCTCCACAGGGCGGCACGAGGGCCGCGAGGTGGCCACTGCTGCTGCTGCGGGACGGGCTGATGGTGCCCGCATGAGCGGCTGTGAGGTCCTGTCTGCAAGGGTGCCGGGCGGGGAGCCGCCAAGGCCTCTCCGCTGTCGGAGTGTGGAGGCCGCCCGGAAGCCCGGTGGGAAAGGGGACAGAGGCTGCCCCAGCCCCGCGGAGAGAACCAGGGGCACCCCCCACGTGCCAGGCCGCAGCCGCTCGGGGAGTAGGCCCCTGTCGTGTGCTCTCCCCTCCACCTGCGGGGGCGTCAGTGGAGACCCCAGCGGTGGACAGCCCTTTGTGGGTGCAGGACAGTGCCCCCCGCCGCAGCTCTCAGGAGGGCCACTGTCCCCTGAGCCCAGTCTGTCCCTTGCAGCTGGGCCTGCTCCTGTGACCCAGAAATGTGAGACCCTTGCCTGGCCACCCTCCACGTCCCTCAGCTGCCAGGAGACAGAGCCCCAGGCAGTGTCCCCGTCCCTGGGACCTGGTCCCTGCTCCTCTGTGGCAGTGACCCCCATACCCCAGGCCTGCCTTGGGGCTGCCCTGGACCCCCTCTTTGGGCTCCCACCTGAAGCAGGAAGGCCACCTGCCCTGAAGGCACAGATAGTGACCCAGTGGTGAGGCAGCCCTGCCCCGGCCACCCCGAGTTCTGGGCCGTCGGCCCTTCACGGGGTCAGCTGGCAAGCGTCCCAGGGGGGCAGGCCTGGAGCTCCACAGGGGACGTGTGCCCAGTATCCCGCCTTGCAGGAGTGTCCTCGTGGGCCCCCCCTTGAGTTTGGGTCCGGAAAGCCCGGCCTGGGCCTTCTATGGCCTTCCCAAACACAGCTGAGACCTGCCACCTGTGCCCCACGGGTGGCCAGGCAGGACAGGTGAAGGGGATGCAGGTGTCTAGCACCTTGGGATCCCTGGCTTTCTGGGTCCCAGCTGCCAACCCGAGCGTCAGCTCTCTGGAGCTTTAGGACAGCTGGATGGATGGGGTCACATGGAGGGCAGGCCTGGCCAGTGGGGCCCCAGGGGTGTGGGGACCCGTGTGTCTCCGCAGCCAGCGGCTGGCCTGAGCCAGCGGGAAGGCACTGAGCGGCAGCTGGGGACAGGCTGTGGTCAGCCCAGGCCCACAGCTCCAGAGCCCAGGTGTGGCCAGCTGTCCTGGGCAGCACCCCCTCCAGGCCACCTTGGGCGTGGGGCCTATGGGCTCCTCGCTCCCTGATCCTGTCCCCCTGGCCTCCCCGCAGGGCCCGCTGTCATTCCGGAAGGTTCCAGGGGAGGGCGCCAGAGGCCGGGAAACAGCGCAGCATCCCGACTTGGCAGGCTGTGGCTGGGTGGGTGGGGCAACCCTCCCCGCGCGTCTGAACCGCGCAGCCAGCCGGGTTAGTGGCCTGGGAGACGCCCAGGCGGCAGCAGATCGCCCACTGTCACCCCGTGTGCCCTGCCGCACGGTGCCTCTGCCCCAGGCAGGGGAAGGGGGCCAGTGGAGTTTGGTGGGCCGCTGGGGGGGGCTGGGGCTGTGCAGGGAGGGGAAGGGGAAGGAGGGTGAGGAAGGGAAGAGGGGGGTGGGGGGTGAGCAGGGAGGGGTAGCAGCCAATCAGATCAGCGGAGCTTAGAGCACAGGCACCAGGCGGAGGATCCCCAGGGCCCAGGGTCCCTGAGGAGGGGCTCTCCTCCGGCCACTGCTGCTGTTGCAGGGCGGAGCAGGGTCAAAGGGAGTCCTGAGGTCCCGGGGTCTGCACTCAGCTGCCAGCTGCCCCAGGACGCTGGTCAGAGCTCAGAGACTCGACTCTAGGACTCCAGGACTTGGGACTGGGGGCCTCAGGGACTCGGGACCAGGGTCTTGGGATTGGGGACCCAGGAAGGGGACTTGGGGACTCAGGGTCTAGAGAACTCAGAACTGGAGGGGCTGGAGTGGGCTCTGAGGTGGCACCTGTCCCACCTGGATGGGGCTGCAAACTGGGCCGCCCCCTTCCCGCCAGGGTCTGCTACTGTGGCAGGTTCCTCTCAGAAGATAATGGGGTCGCTGGGGCCATTACCTTCCAATTACACCCTCTGCTCTTAATAGCCTGCGTTCGTGTTTCTCAGAGAGGCCACGTGGCCACCACGGCGGAGCAGATATTCCCACCGCAGGTTCCGGAGACAGAGCTGCCAACTCCCTCCCTGAGGCCCCGTGGATCGTACCCCAGAGCCAGAGGCCAGCCCCTATGGCAGGTCCTGGCCGCTCAGCAGGGCCCTCATCAGATAGCGGGAATCCAGCCCCCGCTCTGGGGGACTTCGGGGCTGGGGCCACTTTCCCTTCACACTCCTGCTTCTGCAGGTCTGGGAGGCCGAGGACCAGTGTGGACTCGTGGGCTCCAGTCCGGTGGGTGGTGACCCTGCCGTGGGCAGCGCTGACTCCCGGGCAGTCGTAGAGCCCCCTCCTGCCCCACCCC